AGATATTTTAAAAGAGTTATTAACTTACCGGAAACAAAAAAGTTTGTTGCTACGAAGAAAGCAGCGTTTCCGCTATTTCTTTTCAAAAGAAAACAACTAAACATGAACCTGGCCTCACTTTAATCTAATTGTGCATCTCGGTGTAGCATTTGTTTGCGTATTCAATACAGACAAACTTCTTATTATTTTTTTGGTGTAATATTTTTGGTATAATCATCTGTAGCAGCTTCCATTTATCTACGTTTGGATAAATCACACGCTTTTATTTTGCAGGCAACACGCGCTACGTCCGGCGTCCCGCTAGCTTAACTTGGCTAACCTGACGCTGCTGGTTCCTGCTCGGAAGAGACGAGAAGAGAGAAATGGAGGTGAAACAATAATAACAGAGACTTTTGAAGACGTCGGAGCGAAACCGTGAACAGATTCATGTTGTGACGTGTGTGTGAGACTGTGAAGTATCGCCGCCATGATGGAGGACTGTGTGTTGACAGGCTGGACTTTGTTAGCTTCGCTCATTCAAAGAGATCAGAGTCCACAACACTGAAGTTTTTACTTTCTCTGTTCATGTTGTTGCACATGAAACTTTATTGATTATTACTTATGTCATATTTATTTGTTCAGCTTAAGTAAACCTGGATTTAAATGTGTGTGTTTATGTCTATATAACACACACACACACTGATGCTGATTAATAACATTATTATTATTGCTGTTGCATTAACATGTTAACAGTTAAGTCCATATAACACTTCATGTACTTTAATGTGTATTAAACCACCACATATTATCGTAATCTGTCAGCGTGTGATATGATTTGTGTGTAAGTTCTTTATTTCTGTCTGTCAGCCCCAGAAGAAGTTGATAAACTCGGTGGACGGCTGCGTGGACGAGGCTCTGTGCGGCCTCGTCAGGGCCAGCGGCGGCCTGTCGCTGCTGAAGGGCCACAGAGTCGTGCTTCGGTCCGACCTGGAGCGTCTGAGGGGCAAAGTGGCCCTGCTGTCTGGAGGAGGGTCAGGACATGAGCCGGCACACGGGGGTAAGTCCTCTGTATCTTTAATCGTCTTCTTCAGCATTTATCTCTCACACTTGAATCCCCCCGTCTTGTGTCTGCAGGTTACGTTGGTGCAGGGATGCTGTCGGCAGCAGTCGCAGGGGGAGTGTTTGCATCGCCACCACCCGCCAGCATCCTGGCAGCCATCATGTCTGTGCATAATGCAGGTGATGTGATGCATGGCTTTTAATGCTTGTCATGCACTGAACCACGGATGTGAAACTGGAAGAACACAAACATAACTTCACTGGCAGAGGTAATAACGACCCTCCTCCCTCCACAGGAGCCTCCGGGGTCCTCCTCATCGTGAAGAACTACACCGGCGACCGCCTCAACTTCGGGTTGGCGGCAGAGCAGGCCCGTAACCAGGGCGTCGCTGTCGACATGGTGATCGTTGCCGAGGACTGCGCCTTTGACCGGCCCAGTAAGGCCGGGAGGAGAGGCCTGTGTGGAACCGTCTTTATACACAAGGTGAACGACAAAATCAACCACGAAAGTTAACTCGACAAACAACCAGAGTGTGTTGCCAAATATTGTGAAAGACAAATATAAGAGGTGAAAAGTAAATTGTTGCAGCACACTCTGAGATGTCCACATTTTCTACAAATTAAAATCTTGCCGTCACAAACTTCCTGTCAGCTGGCAGGTGCGTTGGCAGAGGAAGGCTCCTCATTGGACCACATTGTTGCCAGGGTGACAGAGGTTTTAAAGGGGATCGGTGAGTTCCTCCTTCGCCTCACCATGGCCTCACTGCTCCGTCTTTATCGGGATGCTGTTCCCCAGTAAAACATTCTGTCGATGTTTGTTCTCCAGGTTCGCTCGGGGTGAGTCTGTCTCCGTGCAGCGTCCCCGGGTGCCTGCCTTCATTCGACCTGCCCCCGGGAGACATGGAGCTGGGTCTGGGTAAGAGACGGAGAGAGCAGGATCAATACAAGATCATCTGATGTGTTGTCTAATTCTGTTGATCAGGAAGATGACTGATGACAGATATCTTGGAAATGAGGCAAATATAGCAAACTGTGAACTAAACTTTTACTCAAATGACAGAACATAAAGAAACCAAACATTCAAAGCACATGTCTCTGTCTCTTAATGTTCCCCACCTACTTCCATCTTGTTTTCAGGTATCCATGGTGAACCTGGGATCAAAAGGTCAAAGGTGATCCCCCGTCAGTCACACGAACCAAAATCTACTTTTTATATATAATTCCATTTGTTCTGTTTCTCTAAAGTTATTCGTTTTGACTGTTAATCAGGTGACATCGGCAGACGAGGTGGTAAAAACCATGATCGATCACATGACCAACCCTGACAGCCAATCGCGTCTGCCGCTGAAATCAGGTGCGATCAGTTTTAAAGGAATATTACATTTAGCCAGAGTTAGTGTCGGCAGACAGTGTTTATTTAACCTGTGTGTGTTCTTCCATCGTGCAGGAGACAGTGTGGTTGTGTGTGTGAACAACCTCGGAGCCTTGTCCTGTCTGGAGATGGCCATTGTTACTCGAGCTGCCATCACCTGTCTGGGTAACTGTGTGTGTGTGACCTGTGTGTGTGTGTGTGTGTGTGTGTGTGTGTGTGTGACCTCTCTTCAGCTGTGGAATGTGTCTCTGTGGTTCTAGAGAATCGCGGCGTCGCGGTTGCCAGGGTGATGTCCGGTTCATTCATGACGTCACTGGAGATGGCGGGCGTGTCACTGACGCTGATGCGAGCCGATGAGGAAACACTGAGACTGTTTGGTGAGCGTACACACACACACACAGTTTGTTTTTCTTTACTTGTGAGGACCCTCCCTTCTCCAGCCTTAACGAAAAGACTCTCATCCCACGCAGACGCCGCAACTAGCGCCCCCGCCTGGCCAAATCTCAGCAGTGTGCATGTGAGCGGACGCAGCCACGTCGCAGCTCCTCCCACCATGAGCACACGCCCGCAGGACGATATACACACTGAAGGTTGGTTTCCAAGGTTACAAGATGAGTGGAAACGACCTGTTGTTGTCAGTTATGATATCATTCAACCCTCAGTTTGATGAGGAACGAAAGAAAAAATATATAAAACTGTGTAAAAACTTTCTGCCTAGGCTCACTGAGTCCTGTGATGCGCAAAACATTAGAGTCAGTTTGTTCCACACTGTTGGAGAAGCAGGAGGAACTCAACTCCCTGGACCGAGCGGCTGGGGACGGAGATTGTGGTAACACTCATGCGCAGGCAGCCAGAGGTAAGAAACATGAGAGCAGAAAAGGAAAAGTAAATAAAAGGAGGCAAATGTTGGATTATGTGTTGATGAAAGATTTTTTTTAAATGTAAAAATCTTCATTCAGCCATTCAGGAGTGGCTCCAGAGTCATGTGGTCCCTGGTTGCCCTGGGAAACTCCTCTCAGTCCTCGCTGGGTTGGTGCAGGAGAAGATGGGCGGGTCATCAGGGGCGGTAGGTTTAAAGTAGTCGATATAAAAAAAAGTCGTTCGCAGCCAACGGCGTCAAACCAGCCTCCTTGTATCTCTCAGCTGTACAGCCTGTTCCTGACGGCAGCGGCTGGTCACGTGAGCGAGGGGCGGAGCGACGCTGCATCCTGGGCTAGTGCAGTGCATGCTGGGACACAGGCAATGAGGAGGTGCGAGGATGTTTGTCTGTCTCATAAATAAACAAAGATGGAGGATATGTAAATCACTACTGAGGCAAAGATTATATTATTTTAATGTCTTCCAGATATGGTGGTGCTGATCCTGGAGACAGAACAATGGTGAGAGTTTTCCACACAACCAATCTCTTTTATTTTGAAAAGTATTTCCTGGTTGATGATTATATTGTTGTTTGGGCTCGAAGCTTCTTCGATTACACAACAGCTTCGTCTTTAAACATCTGGTTCTCTTCCTCTACAGCTGGATGCTTTGTTTCCTGCTGTGGATGAGCTGATGAAGCTGACCACAGCGCCACCTGGTGGACAGATGGTCGTACTGCAGGCTGCTGTGCAGGTATATTAACACACATCGTCTGCTGCAGATTATCGCATCACTAACAACTGTCTTTGAGTTCACACATTCCCCAAATCGCCCTTTTCTTCTTCTGTCTGTCGTCCTAGAAAGCGGCCTCGGGGGCGGAGCACACCCGTAACCTCACAGCGAGGGCGGGGCGGGCCAGCTACATCGCGGCCGAGCGGGTCACCCTGCCCGACCCTGGTGCTGTGGCCGTAGCCGCCATCTTGCGAGCTGTGTTGGAGTCGCTGGAGGGCAAATGATTTCAAACAGAACAACACTGTCACGCCTCAATAACTTAAACAATGAACGCGACGTTAGACTCAGTGTGACGTTAACCTCTCTCTACGAGGGAATTTTCACGCTATGATCACAGTTAATGCATAGAAACTGGATCAGGAGGGTACGTGTAAAATTAAAAAATGACCTAAATGCAGATAATCTAATGTAAAGTGCATGAAAGTTTAGTAAACGGTTACAAGATAATAAAAAGAAACTTAAAGAACAAATAAAGGTAAATTAAGAATACGTCTCGCCTTCATACAGAAATGAAGCTAATTTATCTTTTGTACGTCTGCGGCCATCTTGCTCTTTTGACGTGGTCGCAAGGTCCTGCCGAAACGAGCTCTCAACCAATCACAAGCCAATCTCGGCTGTCAATCATGTCGTCTCTCAGTTTTTATGTCATCAAATACCTAATGTCAGCTCTATTTGATGGAAATTAGTTTAAAGAGGCCACAGCGGGTTTTTCCCCTTAGCGGTGGTGGGTGCAGCCTCCTCATTCTCCAGCGCTGACATCGAGCCGTTCACGAGGTGCAACCTGTTTTACTGAAGTGATTTTTTTATCTCGCTAACATCGGAACAAGCTGTGAGCTGTGAAACAGCTTGTGAAACCGGTTTGAGTGGTGAAGCTAAACCAACTTTCTGAATATAACTTTTCAAAGTGAAACTGTGAATGAATCAAAATCAGTCAACAGTTATTAATTCTGACTAATAAACAAATTACTTCTTACACAAATGCGAGTTTCATTCTACACGCGTGATTTTTCTCATCCCAGGGGTCAGAGGTCAGCGACTGACTCAATCAAGGCAGCTGAGGTCTGCGTTTTTCCGTCTGTTCATCAACAGCTTCTTTTTTCTTTTTTCTTCTTCCTCTCAACTGTCATTTCTCATAAGTACGACTTCCTGACATGCAAATCTCACACAGACACTCAGCACTGCTTAGCCAGACATTGAACACACCCACACATCCTCACAAAAACCTACAAGAAATAGACGAGCTTCTGACACGACCGCACACAGATCACAAAGGTAATTCTCTCCCTGTTTGTTTCGTGTGTTCGCGTTTGTAAAACATCAAAATCAGTGCAGAGGTTTTGTGCCTGTCGTGTTAACAACACAGAGCAGCTGTGACGTGCTGACGGTGAAGAAGCTCTGACGCATGTTTTGAAAGCAAGTTTTCTAATGTTGGCTTCAATTTCCATTTTGCAAAATCGTGAGAATTCATTTGTGTTTGTTTTATTTAACACATTTAACATCTGTGAACCACAGAGTTCATCCGACCTTTACTTTCTGATGAACAGCAGAGTGTGTGTATTGCAGCTGTTTCACTGCTGATTAATCTGCCAGTTCTTTTCTCGGTGCTTGGCTCAGTGTGGGAAAACGCTCTGTGACGAATAGAAGTGATGTCGACAACGACAAGTGCAACGTGAAACCGAAGTTGTACGTTAACGTGTAGCTTGCGTGTTCCTGCCTCTCAGATGGAGTTCGCCTGCAGCCATGTTGTGTGTAACTGGAGATCTGAAGAAGCGGGTGAGCAGATTAAAATCATTTTCTGACAAATGTCGTGAAATTTTCATGAAATGACAACATTTCTAGAACATTTAGACTAAAACTTTGCTTTCTGGGTTTAAATATAGAATCTCTGGAGACTTTTTTTTTAGTTTTGTTTGAAATCTGTTTTGCCGCTAAAATAACTGTTTACCTTTTTAATCACTTACATTATAAATCAGTAAATCATTTTTGTCTAATCTGAATAAAATCTACAGGTTTTCCTTTTATGAATCATGAATATGACAACGTAGTGAGAGAAGGTACTTGTCACACACACACACACACACACACACA